TCGAGAGACCGTAATTTTTTGTTCTGGCGTTGGGGAAAGTGTTTTCAATAGAAAAATGAACTGAGCTGAACATTTTCAAGGACATATACATATATCTTATGAAAAAAATATAGTTGAAAATAACTCACGTTTTTTCAATTCTATGTTTTTCAGAAAAAGTTGACAACTTTCAACCAATTTTGAAAGCGATTTAAATGGTGACACAACATCAATAACTTCACGTGCAGCGTTTTCAGATAGATTTTCAGGTAAACACTCAGCATACAAAAAGTGTAGAATTGTTCCTATAACATCTTCCGATAGATTGCTGAATGGTGGAGGATTTGAAAACCAATCTATATCATCTCCTTGTAGTTCAAGAATGACAGAGTGAACTTTGAACTGAAAATAATGAACTGGTTTCCAGGGCTTTCAACACAATCAATTAATTCATACCTCTCTATTGTTAGATGATCTTATCGTTATATCTGAGAAGTAGCCATCCTCTAAAGCAGGTAATAGAGAGAACAGTGAAGTCAAATTGTTTGAAGGAACCTCATCTGCAACTTTAATACAGTGTATGGTACATAATCCCTCACATGATAGAGATACACTGTCTTTGAACCATTTGTCGGTCTAAAACCATACAAAACATCAAGTAATCTATAACTATTAATCTTGATGCTTACATTGAACTCGAAAACATGTCCTGCATAAGCTCCAAAACGTAATATTGTCCCTGATTTTCCACTTGGTCTATGTAATTCATAAGTTTCACAGGTAAACAGTGGAACATTTTTCAGATCTTCGGGAACCATCCAAGTCACATCTCCATTTTCATCTAATCTTACTCTTATACTGAAATTCTGAATGACTATTTCTGATTCTACAAATCCAGGAATTACTTACCCCTCCATAAATTTTAAATGATGGTCAAAATTGCCCATGGAACTTGTTTTTTTCACATGTTCACATTTAACAACCTAGAATATAATAAAAGTAGATAGGGTAGTAGTGACCTCATAACATATATTTTACTTTCCAAGTGCCAACCAGAGAATGATATGACATTTTGTCTCCTCAATAATTGCAATTACGACCATAAACAAACTTTATAAGATTAGGATTTTTTTATCACCAGGAATTTCATGTTATTATTTTTATCGAATGTATTGATCAGGGTTGCCACCAGATATTTTATTTTCGAACTAAAAGTTAAATAACTTAGTAATAAATTCAGGAATTTTGTAACTTTTGTAGATGCGCCTCGAAGAGCTCGTATTGAAAAATATGCTCTGCTTTCAATCATTTTCAATCTGGTTTTCGAAGGCAGAGGTTCCAAATTTAATTTGGCCATGGAACTCTAATTGAGCATACTTTTTTTGACGGAACCTCAGCTGGTTATTTTGTTAACTAAAGTGTTGTAGCAGCTTGAACATTTTCATGTTACCACTCGAAGAAAGAAAAATTTTAAATGAAAAATGATCATTGTAATGAAACCACTATTTTATGTGAAAAATTAAATTTTTTACCATATTATTTCATAACAGTATTAGAATTGAGCTTCACGTCCGACAGTTGGATGCCAAAATCGGAAGTTGCATCCAGGATTTCGCGGACCACCATTTAAGAATCTAGGTTGTAATGAAATATGTGAACCGGACATTTGATATATAAACGGAACATATGGACCGACACCCATTATACCAATGGAACATAAAGTTTGCCCTCACCTGGTACTGGTTTTACCCACCATTGGTAGGTAAAAATAAAGATATGCCCTATTGACACTTTCTGCGCATGCGTACAAACGAAAATTAGCGTGTAAAATTTCAAAAACTGTCCTTGGTTTATTTTTTTGTTATAGTGCTGCTAGCACCACCTCATTACCTTTTTTTACCTTTATTTTTTTGAATATCCAAATTTACTACGTCAGGCATGGTCTTCTTGAGAAGCTATCTGCGTTTCCGTGACTCTTTCCTTTCTAGTGTTGAATTTCAAAATCATAAGTTGATAACTTTTCGATCCACCTGGTGATTTGTCCTTCTGTGGTTTTGAAGTTGAAGAGCCACCGAAATGCTGAATGGTCTGACCTGATCAAACATGCCCAGCCATATAGAAAGGAGTGGTAGTGATCCACTGCCAAGAGTTCTTCTCTAGTGACGTCGTAATTTTTTTCTGATGTTCCCAAGGACTTATTAAAATAACTAATGACGACTTCTTCTTCCTGCACCTGAGAAAGTGATGCTCCTAATCCATGTTGGGATGCATCCGTGTCCAATATAAAAAAGCCCTCTTCCTTTGGGTATTCCAGGATCGTTGCCCTGATCAAATGTCTCTTCAGGACAGCAAATGCTTGCTGGCAGTCTGGGGATCAGATGAAACTTGTTCTCTTTTCAGTAAAGCTATGCAGCGGTCATGCAAGTTTCCCAAAGTCCTTCACGAAACGTCGGTAATAGCTATAGAGTCCAAGTAAACTTCTTACATCGTGCTTTCTCTTAGGTGTTAGCCATTTTTGCATTGCCTCAATTTTCTCTGGTTCTGTTTCAATTCCTTTTGAGGACATAATGTGTTCTAAAAAATTCACCTTTTCCTGGAAAAGGCAGCACGTCTTGGGGTTGATCTACAAATGAGCATTCCGCAGTCTTGTGAAAACACTCTTCAAGTTTGACAGATGTTCGTCAAAACTTTTTTCGGTGGCTATAATATTATCAAGATAGACCAAGCGTTTTCCAGGTGAGTGCTCTAAACACCAACTCCATCAAGCGTTTAAATGTCGCGGATGCATTGCATAATCCGAACGGCATAAACTTAAACTGGTATAATCTATTGCTGTTGAAAAATGCAGTATTCCCTCTATCCTCGGGGCGAACGGCCACCTGCTTTTCAGATCCAATGCTGAGGACCATCTGCATTCGGCCAAGATGTTCAGGGTGTCATCTATTCTAGGGAGATATCTGGTGGCATCATTAAGCCTCCTGTAATGTACGCAAAACCTCGCCGATCCATCTTTCTTAGTTACCAACCCAACAGGTGACGACCAAGGGCTCTTTGATTCCTCCTTCCTCCAACATGTCCTTAACAGCTACGTATTTCGCTTGGCGAAGGAAAATCGTCTCTGTGGTTGTCGTATGGGCTTGGCATCACCAGTATCGATTCGATGTTAAACTGAATCCGTTCGACCAATGATTTTGCCCTTCACAAACATATCGTTCTCTTCCTCTTGCAATTTTCACGATCGGTTCGTAGGTGCCTATGACTTGCCCTTTCTTGAGAGTCACCCTGTTATTATTAGGGTTTATTATTGTTACTGGAATGGTCTGATTATTTTAATTTACGAGAGATCTAGTCACGAAAATCTCTCATTCAGAGCCGTTGGATGGCTCTACCAAGTCGCCAGGTCCAGCAAATCACGCTTGAATAATTTTCTAGATGTTGGGAGATATTCTGGATTCTTCCAGTGAGTATAACCACCTTGGCGCTGTCATGAAGCACGTCAAGGAAAATTTCCTCATTTCCAACCTTCAACAGTTTGTTCCCTATGTCCACCACGAATCCGTAGGGGTACATGATGTCTAGTCCCAGAATGAATTCGTCGACGATGTTGGCCATGAATACCTCAGTTTCTATTTCGCAATTTCCAAGCCTCAGTCTCACTTCAGCTCCTCCATAGACTGCCAGTGGCTGTTTCCAGAACATTTACTTACTACCGATGAAATTTTCACACTGCTTTTGTTGGAAATGTCGGCTCTCATTACTGACCTCGTTGCTCCAATATCGATGGTGAAAGAAATCTTTCGGCAACTAAGTTGTTACTGTTGCCTTCTATCATGGAAATAGAATACCTGGGGCTTGGAATGTAGCTAACGTACTACTCTCAACGCAGACTGAATTTGGTTTTTCCAAACCCCGACGCTCCAGATTGAGTGATCTCGAACGCCAGTCTATTCATTCGTCGGATGCTGGACGTGATCGACAGTCCCGCCTTGAATGCCCTTCTCTGCCGCAGTTATAGCATTTAGACCACCCTCTTGTCTTGGGCGTAGTTCCATTCATCGAATATTTCTTAAAGAGTTCTTCTATACCTTCCGTGAGTCGATCTGTTCCTTCGTCTTCCTTTCCATTGATGGCCCTCACTAGAACTTTCCGTTGTTGTCGCGAAGCATTTTTGGCAGTTTCAAATTCTAGGGCATAAATGATGGCTTCATTTATTTTTTCACGACGTCATCCTCAGCAACTGCTGCAGGTCCTCTTACGAACCCCGTCGATGAAACTATGGACACTAATCCAGTAGGTGAAATTAACAATCTTTCGATTTCGGCCCCAAATTCCTGCAGACGCTCTGATGGACTTTGAGTTCTCACCTTTTGAGCTTGGTAGACTTGTTGTAGGTGCTCCATACCATACTCGATCTCCAAAACTGCTTTATAATCCTTCTGTCTATTCACTGGAATATTTTGCAGAATTTCGGAGGGGTTTCCTCGTAGTGCCAGTATAAGAGCTGTTACTTTCTCCTCATTTCTCCACCCAATATTTTCCGCAGCGACCTCAAATTGTCTGCGATAAATTGACCAAGAAGATTCGCCATCGGAGGTTGAAGTTTTAATGAAACTGCTAGAAAGGAGAGATGTTTCCACTTTGCATTTTTCCATAGTGATCCTTTTTGGTTCCGGTGATTCTTTCCGAAGTTCCTGAAAAACTTCTTGAACTTTTTTATCGACTGCTTCAAGTTTCTCTTCAAATTTCCTTTCAACCCCCTCAAGCTTCCCATCGACTGTTTTTTCCAATCCCTCATCCTTTGTTTCCAGAAATATTTTTCCAAATCCTTCCTGAATAAATTCCTGTACCTCCCTTTCATCCATTTGGGAAAATTTCGAATCTTCTAATAAATGATGGTACATCTGATTGTCTTTTTCCTGCTTTTCCTGTTTTTTCCGATTATTTACCTGTTTTTCTTGAATACTTAGTAGTAATTTACGGTCTTCATTTATGCGTAATTTTTCTTCCTCCCTCCATCGGTCATCTTTATAATTTCCGCGTTTTAGTTCTTCCGGCAGACCCGCTTGCAAAGTCTCAAACATTTTCTCAAGCTTTTCCATTCCGTCGTAATCGACACTCCTTGTTTTCACCATAAAACAGAACATTTTCAGTCAATTATTTCTCTTCCGACACCAAATGTTACGTTTTTCCCCGAAGGTTGACTAATAAATGACTACACTGAACAATAAACAAACTCAACTTCAAATACAACGAACACTTTAATTAAAAATTCAACAATTATTCGAATGTCTATCCCCTTATAGATCGCTCCGCGTACCGCACCATCACCTTCATTTGACTGTCTCGTTGAGCGAGTGGATGGCGCTTATATTTGGCAATCGAAGGCGCCGTAACATTCCTCGGAATTCCATCGAAGCCGGTAGCAGTATTCTCGCTACATCTAGAACGGCAGCGAACATCGTACATTCGCGCGGTCTTAGTTACGTCACAAATGGTTTATGGCTACCAGTGGCGGCCAGCGTTATTTTCATTAGGGCATGATTTACAACAATATCATTTAGCAGTTGGCGTCATATACATGCCTCCACAGCAGGACTTTTCGACATTTCTGAACGCATTTGAAAATACTTCAAGTCTAGTTTATCTATGTGCAGACTAAGTTGTTTGTATGGGTGATTTCAATATAATTCTACTTAATTTCGAAAATAAAAACTTTGGAAAATTCCATTATCTATATATTAGAGACTTTTAAATTGAATCAAATTGTGAATTGTACAACTAGAGTAACTAAAATAGCTGTGAGTCTTCTTGATTTGATTATAACAAACGAAAAATACCTAAATAAAAAGAGTGTTCCTGATAGCGGTAGTATATCTGATCATACATATGGTTACTGTAGATTGCTAGTAACTGTTTTATTCAAAAAACCAAAATGATCACTTATAGAAATTTCAAATATTTTAATGAAGGAAATTTTCAGTGAGATTTGTTTTCATCTCGACTTCAAATGATTCATGACCAGTTGGTGACAAAGTAATTTTTTTAGTGAATTGCCTAGTGAAATTGCTTTCATAACCTCTAGTGTTACAAAACCAAATACCTTTTGGCTAACGGGTACAATAAAAGAAATGATTTCTACCAGAATCATTTCTCAAAAACTGTAAGTCAGTTAACTATTTTCAATTTTATAAAGATAAGT